CTGTTTCTTTAGGTGTTGCTGCTGGGTTTTTTTTAATTCTTCTATAGTTTATTATTAAGCATTATTGCCTTCAACATTTGTTTCCAGAGGTTGATGCTTGTTGATAACAGCTGTATTAGCACTTAACAAGCTCCAATGTTTTAAATTTTCTTAATGCATGAAGGCGATTGTTTACAACATTGTTTGTTAATGCCTCCCTTCTTTCCTCATTTTGTTTTTAACCCACACACACAAACATCTTGGTACAATTTGAACGATTTTTCTTTTTTCTTTCATTTTAATGTGTTGGACACATTTGTGCTGCTGATAGATGTTATTGCCTTTCTTGTATTTTAACAAATGGGGAAAATAGAATGTCATCAGTGTAGATGTATGTACACATAATGACTCTGGATATCACCTTGGGAGAGCAAAGCAGTTTTAACAACTGTAGTCAGTTAAAGGAGCATTAGTAGCAATTAAAACCCTCTGTAGAATTACCAGTTCACTCCAGTTTACAGTTTGGTTGTCAACTTTCCAAAATAGATGGACTTTTTGTATTTTTCTTTTTGGAAAAAAAAATCAGTGATTTATTGCACATTTTGGATACAGTTCAAGAGTTTTTTGTATCTGCCAATTATAAATTATAAATAAAAAACACTATATTCTATTTTTGTGTTGTTTTGTTTTAAACCTTTTTCACTTGGATTTCATTGTAGGATTCAGACGTAGAACCAGAGGTGAAACAGGTGAAGTGATACAGACGTAACCCATAAAACAGGATCACGCATGACAGTTTGCCACCTCCAGGCCACGTTCACACTGCAGGATGTATTGAGATCTTTTTTGCATTGTTCACAGCATAGTTCAAAAGTTCTCACTCACTTTAATTGCATTCAATAAATTCACATGGCTAACAAGACTTCCACGTCCTGTGTGCCATGTTGTATATGCTATCTGCATGCTTGCTGCGTTAGGTGCTTTGTAAATGAACAAAGTGCTATAATAAGGAAACGTGGGAATATTCTGAAATATCTGTAAATAATAATAATAATAAAAAAGGTCTGAAGCTTTTTCCTGCACACCCAGATGTACTCTAAGGTTTGGTTATGCACATATCAACTGCTTGATCACATGCGCAGCTGTGTGAGTAGTTCAAATGATGGAGTTGTTCCCACACTGAGAACAAATCGGCAGCTGATTCCAGAGCCTAATTTATAGAAACTGTCTTGGAGGTCTGTTTTTTAACATGGGTGAGAGAAGCGAAGACTCTGGGGAAAGATTAGCAGCGGTTCTGGTAACTTCACTTTAACTTCACTTTAAGTCAACTCTGGAGGAACACGTCGAGTTCAGTTCTTGGATTGTAGAAGAGGAGGAGGACGAGGAGATGGTGTGGAGAGACGGAGGTGGGGGTGATGGTGTTGGCTTTAGACTTAGATGTGCTGAAGCATGGTGTGCATGGTGATGAGGAGGTAGGCTTTGTTAACTGCTGTGTCTGACAGGCCTCTCTAGGCATCTGAGGTGAAGATACACAACTGTTTACTCTCTCTGCTCGATTCGGGATGATTTATTCATAACACACATTGGTGGTCGCAGGTCTTATAGAGATGCCTCCATCAAAGACTCGTCTCTGCCTTCCACTGTTGTTATTTTTCTTTCAAATTCACTACCGATATTTAAGATTTTAGGTAAGAAGTGATAGTTTTTTGCCGAGAGAGAATTTTTGACATGGCACAGTACCTTGGCACATTTGAATATCTCTGCATACTTTGGCAGAACACACAGTATATTGCTGACATAAAATTTCACTTTAAAATACAGCTGTCATTTTGTGTCTTTAGTGCATCAGGATACTTTTTTTTTGTACTGTCACAAATAATTTCTATCTAAGGATTAAATGCACTGTGCACTCAACTTGTATATCACAACATTCAAAATGCCATTTTAGCTCCCCCTACAGCGTGACATAGAGAGAGAGATCTGTGCAGATCTGTTTCTAAACACTGCACCCTGAAAAACCCCCTGTTGATTTGTTGGGAGACATCTGGTCTACTTGTTTTAAATTGTTTGCCAAGTAAAAGCATTTGTTTTTGAATGTCATTTTCCAGTTTGTGTTGTGCATTGTAAATTCCATGCACCATCAGTTTGCCAACGTGCATGAAGTTTTACCCCAGTGTATGACAGGGTGAAGAAAATCACTCACTTAGGAGCATATTTCTCCTCATTGTGTCTCTTGGTTTGAAACTGTCTACTCTGGAGAATGCATCCATCACCTGTCCCCTCTGAGATTGATAATCTATTCCTGCCATCTGGCAGGCTGCATGGTGTACCCATTTTTTACCTACAAGCAGGGATGATGTTGACAGGTTGAAATAGCCAGGAATCACATACATATTGCTTTAAATCGTCATACCCATACTAACATCAGTGGGTCTAGCTGGTAATGATAAAGACCAGGTTACCTGCTGGTGGCAGATGTCTTTCAGTCCGGAGTGTAAGGATCAGCTCTATTTATACCTGTGATCTCATGCCAGCAGAGCCACACACCACAGAGACCCTCCTCTTCTCCATCTATCATACAGGAGGTGCCTCTGAACCCCAATTAACCCAGTTAGAGAAGAGACTGCCTCCATCATTACCAGGTCTTCACACAAACAACAGATCGGCACTGCACCGTTTTTCTAAGTGTTTTCTTTTTTTGTGGAAGGTTTGGCGTTGTCTCATTCTTGGTTGATGCACCACAGTTGACTCTCTCTGAAACAACAACCGGTTTGCAAACAGCCTTTGACACAACCTCTCAAATAAATGACAATAGAATCAAGCAAAGTGCATCTTGTGGAATATTCTTCATAGGTGACTGTGGTTAATGACTAAAAACATGGGCCATCCAGATGGCCCTCACTGCAGGATGTCAGCAGAGTAGATTTTGTTCAGGTTGATATCTAATTAATTATAGACTTTAAAAAAATATTGAAGGTGTTCTTTGTTTTTGTCATTTAATTTCTTCTTTGCCATGATTTTCAGTGATTGCACCTTCTGAGCAGGAGCTGTCATCAAGCACCTATGCTACTTGAGGGAACAGGGTTTATGATATGCAGCATGATAACAACATGCAGTAACCGTGCATTTATACACAGTACACACGTGTGAGCTCGTCCTTTGTGCATCCCGTATATTGCAGACCGAAGGCGGTGGGGAGTCGTAAGACCTCTCTAATTATGACATTAAAAAGAGTGACATATGGAACTTGGGTGCCATAGAGTAACAAAGGGAACACATCCCACCCCCTGCTCTGTTGCCCCCCCCCTTGTGAAAGTGACAATTTAGTCACTTCTCTCAACAATCTGCCCATGTCTCACGTGGGAGCAACACGCGTAAGGATGAAACGTGTTGTGAGAGGGAGGTGGCGGGTGAGGGTAGAACAGGTGGCAGCCATCAGGAAATGGAGGGGGGCTGTTTTGGATGGGGAACCTGCCTTCATTCCTCACAGTGTACCTGTGTTTCCGCCCTTCACTGGTAGACCAAGAGGCACAGCAAGTGTGGGAGAGATGAAATGAGAACAGGTGGTGGATTGTCGTTTAACAAGTAACGGAGTTCCCCCATAGATCTGCTGAGGTACAGCTGATGGACTGGTGTGGACTGCACCCTCACAGCAGGATCCTTA